AACAACCACTATGTTATAATTACACCTTTTAATTGTAGAAGATTCAAGGCTGGTTTTCTTTATGTTATTACTTGCACGTACATGTTGCAAGATTATCTGGCTTATAACTTGACTTATAACTTACAACATATAAGAATTATACTACTTTTACCATAAACTTATACGGAACAATGTCAGAAACTCTTTGGAGATTAAGTTAAGTTAAAAGGTTTACTGATGTTAAGTAACCTGCACGTGATCCACAGATCTGGGTTTTGGTTATTGCTTTTTACATACGAGATTCAAGGCTCTCTGCCCATAGGTTAACATTCTTGGTATTCAAGGCATAAGCTATATTGGCTTTACATTAAAACGTACAACCTCCAGTATTCAATTTTGAAATTCAAGATTAAATGCTTTAATTTGAAATTTAAAGTTTATGATCCAATGCTCTTTTTTTTTTAATGCAACTTTTTTAACAACAAGCTACAACTCTTTGAGATTAGGTTAAAATTTAATAGCAATGACTCTCAAATCAATTTAAGTGTTTTTCAAAGTTTTTGTTATTGACCCCCCCCCCCATGACTGTTTTATCTAGGCGGACTACAATGGGATTTATACGCTATGCTGCCTGTTCCTTTCCCTACTTATGCAAGATTTTCATGCACCACCTGAAAGCAGCCTACGGACTAGTGGTCGGCTGACCACAGATTGAAAAACACTGACCTACAATATCAAAGAACTTTTTGCTCGTGATGCTTTTATATTAAATATAAAATCCAAAAGCCTCTGGTTTACATTAAAGTGTAGCCTACAAAATCTTGAGTTTTGTGTTTTTTAAATATAACTGTGACATACAAGATCAAAGTTTATATGCTTTTATTCTAATATATATAATATATTAGAATGTAGATAATGTATACAATGTATATAACATACAGTAAACAAAGAGTGCTGGTTTTAAGTAGAATAATCAATAACTTTAAGACCAAAGTTTCTTTGTATCCACAGCGGATTTTAACGTTCTAAGTCCATAAACTTATTGCTGTCCCATCGGGCCACTTAGTTTTCGTTTAAAACTTATGCTCAAGAAGGTAAAATAATGTTTTGTTCTAGATCACATTTATGAACCGAGAAGGTCCAAGTTTCTTTGATTTTAACTTGATATTTATAATCAACAAAAGCCAAGATTTGTATTAAAACTTGTCACCTACAAATGAAAAGTCTCTTCCGTTTAAGATTAAAACGTATAAACTATAAGGGATAAAGCTTTCTCGTTTTCCATTAGATCCACGACTTGCAAGGTCCAAGTCTCTCTGATTTTATTTTAAAACTTATTACCAAAATTTCTCAAGTATCCTTGAGTTTAGATTAATAATTACAATCTATACGATCTTAAAATCTTGATTCTTGGCTTAGAATTTCATGATATACATGATTCAACGTTGTGACATCCAATGTTCAAAATATGCAGCTGTGTATTTAAAGCGTATAAGTTAGAAGATTTAAAAGTGTCAAATCATCTGTTGTTTTCAAATAAAGCGCAGATTCAGAGCTTGCTCGTTTTTTATTAATAGATATAGCTCTATCATCATCATGACAATTTATTATCTACTTGGTCCAATGCTCTTTAATTTTAGATTAAAGTTACGACTTACATGGCTGGCTGATTTTAAATTTACTAAATATCACCTACGTGACCCCAAACCATATGATGTTGTCTTAGAGCTTACATTAAAACGTATAGGGTCCAAATTATTTTTTGTTTACCATAACACTAATTATCAAAGAGATACGAGGAACTCTTATATTGAATTATAAAATCCAAATGACTCTGGTTTTTGTATTTAAAACCTTATTACAAAATTATCAAAGTATTCTAAGCATATTTGAGTTTACATTAATACCTATAATGTATTAGTACAATATATTTTTTTTAATTACCAAGTAATGCTTACTTCTGGGATACAGATTTTTTCTCAATCCCACGGGACTGCTGAAAAAAAAAAGATAATTGGCTAAACTTTTTTGCATTGATTCTCTTAATAACCTAACGGAGCCAAATTCTACTGGATGTAGGATCTGTTGAACTTATTCAACGGATTGATGATGGTAATGTAGGTAGTAATTTTTTCTTGAACCTGAAAAATGTAACGAAGCTTTTCAGAAAGGTTGGGCAATAAGATTTGTAAAATGAAAAACTTATGGAAAAAAAGTATATTAAACGTTATATAGATGATGTGAAGCAAATGTATGATGATGATGGAAATGTAAGTGATAAAAAAATGGGTCCTGGTCGCATGCTTGAGAAGTTGAAAATGAAATACCCCTCAGCATTGGATCTATCATCTGAGAGCGAGATTTGTTCGGCAATAAGCGCCTTCATTGCAAAATAAAAACAGCAGCAAATGACCAACTTTCAAGTCGTATATATTTTCCAGATGTGCTTTCATATACCATCAATGATATTCATGATGGAAATGAAAACATTGCACCAAAGGCATACTATGCAGTGGATATGGAAAGATGTGAGATGATAAAGGAGGCATACCTCATCGAAGAGTTCCCTGATCGGAAGAAAATAAAAAGTGTGATCAGCCAGATCAAACAGAAAAAGAAGAAGAAAAGAAAGGCAAGCAGCTGAAGGAGGAACCCAAGGAGGTGTTTAATTATGATCTCTGTACTTGTTCGAAGGTCAACATAACTATTCATCCCAAAAACAATAAAAATAGTAAAAGAATTGTCATTTATTTGCATGAAAGAAAGAAGGAAAAGCAAAAGAACAAGAAAAAATGGTGCACTTTTCTGGAAAATGTAGCTGAAATTGCAATTTTCAATCGATCATATAATTTCGAGTATTTATGCCAAAAAATAAAATAAAATAAAAACACCCATGAAAACCATTTTTTGCTGTTCTATTTTAGTAGTAAATGATCTATTTCAGTGTTAACATTCCGCAGAAATTGGCAATATATCAGGAAAGTTTGCCTGTATATAGATGATTCAATGCTCGCTGTTTTTGATCTTAACACATAAAATAAATAATCTATGGGTTGCAGTTTTAAAATAAAAACTATAATTAATTTCAAAATCCAAATCTCTCTGTCTTTGGATATAGACTACAAGATCCAAGTCTCGGTTTTTTTAGGTTGAAAGTTATGACCTATGAGGATAAATTATTTTTCGTTTTATTTTAATATTTATATCATAAAGACCCAAGGCTCTTTTTTTAAATCAAGTCTTATGACATATAGTTTCCAAGTTTAGCAATTTTTATAAATCTTTTTTTCCTACAACTTTTAAGGTTTTTTTGTGGTTTTTCGACATGCGTGAGCCAAGGTTTAAAATATTTTCATTACACTTATAACGAATAGGATCTAAATCTTTAGATCTAGAGTTCTCTATTTTTGACTCAAATGTTTAATCTACAAATTCGAAGACAAGTGTGCAACATACAATATCCACAAAAATCTAGGTCTAAATTAACATTTATAATTAACAAAACTTAGGATCGCTGATTTTAGATTAGAAGCCCTGGCATGGCCAGGTGGTTAGGGAGCTCGACTCGCAATCTGCGGGTCGCGGGTTCGAATCCTCGTCACATCGAACATGC